CAAAAACTCTCAAAGAATTAAAACTGACCGCCCAAACTCGAGTAGACGTCGAGGAAGCTCTTCAGATATTGAGAATTATGTTTACGATGTCGAAAACACCCTACCAATCCTATGACGCACCAACGATGGCTGGTACTCTAAAGCACAAGGATAATACAAGTGAAAGAGCACGTGCCCAGCGTTTACGTGAGAAAAATCGAGCACGACGGAAACCAGTGGTGACTTACAATTTACTCGGTGAAAAGTACGTTCGATGGGAGGAAGAACTTGCAGACAATGAAGAGATCGGACAGAATCAGTCTCCATCCAGCTCCAAAAATCTGTTTGAACACACTCCTCCAAGTCCGAACAAGGATGATATGAATGCGCTTGACGGTGATCATTCACCTGACTTTTGTGAACCTACTTCGAAGCACACTCCAGATTCTACAGCAAATACCGTTCACGCTATGCCTGAAATTCTCTCACCCACTTGCCAAGCATTGGTCGATGATTCAACAGTCTCAGAATCTGTGCCGGCCGAAAGCGACAAACCTGATACAGCGTCTCCTGTTAGTCATCAAAGCCCTGTCGAGGAATCAGATGACGAAGACGATGATGAAGAAAGTGATGAAGAAGAGGGAGAAGAGGAAGATGGAGACGAAGAAGAAGAAAGTGATGATAATGATACCGATGCTGAAGGTGATAATGGCGGCAACGATGGCGCAAAGGACCAAGATAATGTCAACAACATACAGGCAACTCCAAGTGAAGCTACTTTGGCTATCCCTACAGCTAAAAAGTCTCGTGGAGTAAAACGCGCTCGAAAGTTCATTTCTTGCGGCGTTGACATCTCTAGAAACGCGCTTGTGAAAAGTATTCGGCTTTCGCCCATGTTCCAGCAGTTCTGGAGGACAGGCTATTGCTGGTGCAGTCCAGCTCCTCAACTGCAAATTATTTGGACCCACAATGACAAAGCCAAGACTGGCAAGCGCAGATTAAAGTGCAAAGCATGTCACCAACGATTGCACACAGTCGAACTGCCTCGTGTAAGATACGTACCTCATTTCTCGCGACAGAACACGCTTGACATTATCGTCCAAGTTTACAGCAAGCTCACAGGTACTGCTCACACGAGTCTATACAAGAATTCCTCCACGAAAAAAGACCGATCATCGGAGTGCTCGATAGTCAGCACGCTATTTGACTTGTTCCTGACTACCTATGGTGTCCACAGCACCGCAGAGATGAAGTTGAAGCAGTTTTTCGTGTCCCTGTGCCAGTATCTACCGGAATACGACGCTGTCGCAGTTTTTGGCGAGCTACTAGGACTCCACACGCCTGATAATGCGGAGGAGTGTGATCAAGCGCCAACTACGTTGGTTGCGTTGTGTGTGTGCTGCTATTCGTGGCTGTATTCGCGTGGGATGGTGGTGAATGGAGACACGTTTTCGGGTCGGCTGTACGACCGTGACGGGGGCAAGAGTTATACTACATCCGAAGCCACGGATGGGACGACACATTGGCAGTTCGTCCGGGTCGAGCATGCTCTGTTGTGTGCGCAGGATAACTTGTTGTATCCCCTCGTGAGTCCGGAGTTCCTTAGGAATATCATGCTATTCATTCAGGAATACGCACAGCGAGAGCCTACGCGCATGTTGAGGGTAGATTCGCCCGATTTTAGCGACGATATTGTTCATGGTGATCGAGCAGCTCTTTGGATTGAGCTGCATCGCTTCTTGCGTCTTTTAGTTGGCGAATGGAAGTTCCAGAACGCTCAATTTCGAGCTGTGGAGAGATTGCTGTTTGTACATCCACAACGAGACATAGCGATCGAAGGAGAGTTGTTGGAAAAGCTTCGACTGATGCTCAGTTGCTTTGTATTTTACGATCATGAGCGCGTCGGAGTGATGGCAGTCGGTGATTTTGAGACTCTTTTGTTCAAATTGCGATATCTCTGGACGGAAGATAGCACAGCGATGGAGGACGCGTTCGATAGTGTCATGTCGGCCATCAAACAGCGATTCCAAGACCTGGATCACGACGGCCAGCTATGTTACTTGGACTTCTGGGTCATGTTGTACATCGTGGGGGTCAAAACTCGCAGCTTGATATTATTTCTCGAGATTCCATCCTTTTGTCGTGACTACAGGTTGGAAGTATCACCCGAACTGAGCGATATGGTATGGAACTATATGCAGTTATCGTGCACTCTAGTGTTGCCAAAAGGGCTTCAGATCGGGAAAAGCTCGATGGATCAGAAAGCCGAACGCCAGCATCGCCGTCGTGTTGGAGGCTTACACGATGGGATTTTCCACTTCCCAAAAACCCTTACGAGTTCGTTATCCACACAAGAATTACTCAGAACTGATGACTCCAAGAAGTTGGGGTTATTTCTCGATGGATCAGTCCCTGCTACTCGACTGACTGCAAGCACAACGGCACTAGATCGATTTCGACCGCTATCGGTAGAGTCTGACCTTGATTCAGGTCGTTCTTCTCGTCGACGTCGTCGTGAGCCTGTAGTGTTTGGAGTTCGATCGAGTGGACCAGCACCGAAGCCTATTGCTCCACTACGAGTGTCTCTTATGGGAAATTACGACTCTGTATCAGATACAAACAGCACGGTAAGATATGAAAATTACTCAGGTGTAGAGCAGGCCAGCACACGACAGATATTCAAGACGGGGTATACGAACATGTACGTTCAGTTTCCAGAGGTGCAGCCGGTGCGTAGACGAGTTGGAGAGACTGAAGTGATGTCGAGGCAAACCGTTGGAACAATTCCGGTCGAAGATAGCAGTGAGGAGAGTTCTGTTGTCTACGAAGACTCTGTCGTTGAACAGGAAGAGTTAGTACAAGAGGAAGAGCCTTCGTCTGTGAGAACGCCATTAAGTCGCATTCAATCTGCCACTAGCGTGGTGCCGGTCCTTGAAATGGTTCAAGAAGAAGTCGTAAACCAACCAGAGCCTCGTGCTCAAACGCCAGTCTTAGAGAAAAGACGAAGCGCTACACCGGTCGTTGTGGTCCCCACTGTTGAACCTGAAGCTCGAGCGACTTCACGACGAGAATTGCTAAAGCGAAAGTCTTCGGTTCGTGTAGCTTCCGCACAAGCAAAACTCGAAGAAGTAGCAGTCCAGCTCGAAGCTGAGAAGGTCGAGATAGAATCACCTCCGTCTCTCCAGCCAACTCCAGTCGCCACAGCACGAGATGAACCTCCAGCCGACGAAAACGAAGGTGAAGTTTCTGGTGACGATGACACCGAGTTCGATGAAGACGTCGAGCAAACCAGTGTGCAGTACGAGGAACCTCCTTTAGAGGAGCCTGAAGAACCCGTCCCAATTGTCGTTGAAGAAGTACCACCGGAGTCTGAGCCAGTAGTGGAAGATCCTGTTGAAATAGCTGAGCCCGTAGTGACGTCCATAATTCCTGAGCTAGTGGTCGACAGCGTTGAATCTCCGGTAGTAGTTGAAGATCCACCAGAACAGATCGTGGTCGCTGAGGTTGCAGAAGTTGAAGTCGTTGAGGAAGAAATGAGCTCGACACCAACTCCAATTGAAGAGCCGGTTCTAACAGAAGACCCTGTTCCTGATTTGAGCACTGAAAGTGAAATCGCAAGCGAGGAGGAAGTGGCAGAAAACCCTGACAGTACACTGTACAAGCCACAAGTTATCAAACAAGATGATACTCAAATTCTCCATGGATTCCGCTTTTCCCAACAACCGGCATTCATACGCAGCGTGGCAGCTACAAACCCGTATCGTACAGCAATGTGGAATCCAAACGATGACAGCGAAAGTGACGGCGACGATGATGACGCTGTGGAGAGCATCGAACAACAACAAACCTTGGACGTGGAGGGGGTCCATAATTCACTTCACAGCACCAAAGACGCGTCGAAACATCCTCATGACTTACAGGACAAAGGCGACGATAATGCTGGTATTCTAGCTGACACACCGCTCATTCCATTCCGACGTAAGCGTTTGGATGAAGACGCTGAACGAGCGCTCTATGGTGAGCGAATAGTGAACGTGCTAGGCGAGGGTATCGCCTTCAGTCCGGAGACTGAAGCTGCCATGCAGAAGAAATGGCAGCAGTTTTTCGATGAATCCGAATCAAAAATGTTCACTACGATGAGGTACGATCTCGAGAAGAAACAAACGGAGCAACGCGAGGCTGAAGAACGTCAGATAAAACTGCGTAAAAAGTGGCAGGAACAGCGGGATCAAGACCTGCAGCGACTCCAGCACTCGCGACAAAGCAGTACACTTCTCATGTCGACAAAGCAGGATTCTAATGGCGGAGTGGACGCAGGCTTCCGACTGAGACGAATTCATCGAGAGAGCTGTCGCCAACTCACCGAAGAGCTTCAATTCGGCGTGAGTATGCACCGAGAACTCAAAGAAGCGAAGGGGACACAGTTCTTTCACTTCTACTATCTACCAGACAGCCAGGGATCCATCATTACGTTGAAGATGCACGTCTTACGCGGCGATGCTGAGGTGTTCATGTCCACAGATACCAAGGTGCCTTGCTCCACGGACTTCATGTGGCGATCATCTGAAAGACTGATGGAGGATTCGGGCGAAGGACATCGTATTATTCTCTACCCGCACGACTTGTTAAAGGCAGCATCCAATGCATCAATGGCTATGGAGACCAACGCCAGTACAGCGTTGAGATCGTTTTACCCGAAGCAGGATGCGACAGCGATCCGCGTTGGATTTTACCTATCAGTTGTGGCTTTAGAGCCTGATACAGAGTACACTGTGGCCGTCATGTCCTCTGGTCAAAAGATGCAGCCGTCGCGAGCTATTCAAACTGTCGACTACCTCATCGATCGCTTCAACATGTTGTCGAGGTCATTCCAGGAGCATTCGACAGTCTCGTATTCCTCTATTATACCAGAAGATGTGAATGAACTGGATAATGAAGACGTAGACGAAGACGAAGACAGCGAGGAAGTAGCGAGTGAACCTTCTGGAAGACGGAAAACCAGGAGAATTACTGCTAATGGAGTAGATCCGCAAGAACTCAAGTCGTTCCAGCGTCTCCTAGAGACTGAGCGAGAAGAAAGGCTTTGGATCACCTCGAGCAGCGTCCATCTTGCTTAATGGCCCCAGTGATGAGCACCTCGAGTTCGTTCAAGATGAAGATCAACGTCTGCAGGAAATGCATCATCGATTATCACCGTCCAAAACCTGCCCAGACGCCGTGTCTGTCGTGACTGAGAGACGTCTAACCTTACAAGGTAAACGACAAAAGCTTCGAAGAGTGGTTGCTGCGAGATTGCAGCAGAAACTCGCCCCTCTTCGACACAAATCCAGTGCAGGTGAACTAGAAAAATCATTGGTGAATATCCGGATGCCACGCCCAGTAGCTTACAGCATCACCACGCTCGATCCATTACCCCGTTCTCAGCGATTAAAAGCTGCTGTCTTACCTCTTCCTCAAGACGCAACATTAGTGCGAAAGAACCGACTGTAGGAATTGATTATCCTACGTAGGTGAAGACCTCAAGTGCATCCTTAAGGTCGGAGTATTCGAGATACGAGTCGTACAGGACGGGCTTGAATTTGGCGTGACTGCTGGAATACTCAGCGATACGTGCAGCAACGTCGTAATCTGTTGACATGGTATGATTATCCCCACAAAGCGCACGACAACCACTCTGCTTGAAGTGGCTATCCTCCATTTTCATTGGTAGATAAGCAAAGATATGCTGGGATCACCAGCTCCTTGCAGACGAAGAGCTCATTCCTCCTCAATTCGACATCAATACCCACCTCCATGTCTCCGTCTGAAGCTCCTCGACGCGGCCACCACGGCATGCCTCCTCCTCCTCGTCCAGGCGAGTTTGAAGTTGTGTACGTTCTAGATACTACACCTTACATTCTGATTCTGAAGTTCGTAACGGCTTTTTCGTTAACTGTCAACAGAGGCGACAAGTGTCTCGAGTACGTCCGCCTACACGCCACGCAGGGCGACGCTCAGTCGGTGGTGGATGCTATGGACAATTTCGCCTACGAGGAGATGTGGATGATGAACATCGGCGACGTGAAAGGCGCCATCGTGGACGCCGAAATTGAGAAGGCCAAGCCACAGGTGATGGCGGAGATTGGAGCTTTCTGCGGCTACAGTGCTGTGCGTTTCGCCAGCAAACTACGTGCTGTGTCGGGCCCTTCAGCACGCTTCTACTCGTTTGAATTCTCGGAGTACTTCGCCAATATTGCTAAGCAAATTGTGGATCTCGCTGGGCTCTCGGACGTCGTGACCTTCTTCGTTGGACCCTTTTCGGAGACCTACACGAAGCTCAAGGATCTGGGCGTTAACCACGTGGATGTACGTGTGTGTCGGCATCGATATAGGAGGATTATGTATACAAACGGTGTTGTTGTTGTGTGTTGGTAGGTCTTCTTCATGGACCACGACAAGCGCCAATATCTGAGCGACTTCAAGTTGATCGAACAGAGTGGACTTCTCAAGCCGGTAAGAATTGCTAACAAGCGTATGTTTGTTGCAACCACTGATCATTGCGTTTGACTTTAGGGAGCCGTCGTGGTAGCCGACAACGTGTTGTTAGGCCCGGGCGGATTGTCAGAGTATCTGGATTATGTGCGCTCGAACCCGAAGTTCACGTCTGTGTTGCATGAGTCTTTCGTCGAGTACCAAGCGGAGCTCAAAGACGGCGTCGAGGTCTCCACGTACGTGGGCTAGTGGTGAACAAGTGTAAGTATACACAGATCCAATGACGTGGCGTATACCTCTCGAACATGTATACTGCCTGCAAGTAATACGTACCAGCATCGAATCTGCGGCCGCCGCAATCCATGACGCCATTGCCAGTCCACAACACCCCAGCGCAGCTCTGCTCTGACCAGTCTTGGCATCGCATCCTGCCTGCCTCGCTCACATCGTTCCGCCCTTGCATCGTCTCGTCGTCATCCGTAAACTGAATCATTAGTATACTGAAAACTGAACATCTATATCCGGATCTTATCCACTATACCTCCAGCCGTTACCAGTGCAAGACTCTCCCGGGTGGACGTATGAGCTCTCCCGACGAGAAGACGCCTCTCGTGGGCGCGTCTCCGCGCTACGAGGGCGACACTGCGCCTTTGTCCAGCGCCGCAGCCGCATTGGCTCCCTCTCTGTCCAGCGATGACACTGCGGTTACGTCTCCAGGCCGCCCCAAGACTCGAGTTCGTGTCGGTCTGGACGCCGCTGTCCTTGACAATCAAAAGAAGTGGAAGCGGCTAACAGACATCGATGACGACAATAGCACAGCCAAGAGTATGGCCAGTGAAGTGCAATTGGAGTTCATGAAGCACCGCCAGCAGCTCGCACACGAGCAGAAACGTCGACTCGGTTCTGGAATCCCCACGTACAATTTGGACTCTGCAGACGTCGAGCAAGAGGCCGAGGAGGACCCAATCTTAGCAGCCACAGAGTACGGTACTGCTCTTGAGGAAGACCGGTACCTCATTGCAGCTGCGTTCATCAAAGACGGCGTGCACGGCCGTAAGATCGGCTACCGACTGGACCGAGACGCGCTACTATTGAACAATCTGTTCCACTCCGAGTCCTACAGACTCGTATACATTATGGTAGTGGCCATAATGTGTTCATTAGCCTTCGTGGAGAACCCTGGAGACGAGAACATCAACACTTATCTACTGGTGGATCTCCTCTGTCTCTTTGTCTTCGGCGTCGACCTGGCTATCCGATGGTACATGAGCTCAGTGGAGACGCAACACAAGTACGTGACGAGACAACCGTGGGCTGTAGTGAGGATGATCTTGCTGCTCATCACATGTGCGGATTTACTGGTAAATCTGCTCTTCCCGACCATCAATCCGTACAGATATTCCAGGGCGTTGAGACCCTTCTTCTTCATCTGCCGAGGACGCAATATCCGTATCATCTTTAGCAGTTTCTTACATGCATTGAGAGAGGTGTTGATCGTGCTGGGCTTGAGCTTCTGCTTCGTCGCGTTCTTCGGATTAGTCGGGTATCTCGTCTTCTCGGACACTAGTAACGACCCGAGCGCCACGTTCTTCAATTCGCTCTCGTCTTCCATGTACACGATGCTGCTGATCCTCAACTGCATGCCGTACATGGCTAGAAGCATGTACCCGTACTACAAGATGACCCACTGGAGCGCCGTTTTCTTCGTTCTCTTCGTGTTACTCACCAACTTGTTCCTACTCAAGCTCACCATCGCCGTGTCCTACAAGTCGTACAAGAAGAACACCGAGAGTATGTTGTACAAGCGGCTGCAGAAGCGCAAGGCCGCGTTGTACGCTGCGTTCGACATCCTGGCCCAGAATGTCAACTTCAACGACGACGACGTCCCCACCAACCCGCCAGTGTCCGGTACGCCACTCAACGGCGCCAGTGACATCAGTCTGGTCTCCAATGCGCCCATGCTCAACGCTGCCAACCGCCGAGGATCCTCTCGGTTCTTCCTCGGCACATTCGACCGCCGCGCGTCGTTCAACATCACTAATCCGGCGCCCAATACCAACCTCGTGACGCCTGTTAACAAGCGTCAGATCTCGCTGGAATCGTGGATTAACGTGTGCGAATACCTCAAGCCCAAGTGGACTGCTACCGATGCTGAGCTCGTGTTTAATACCGTGGATATCGAGCACGTGGGCTTCCTGGACTTGACAGATTTCTACCAACTCTGCTCGTTACTCAGCGTTCAACTCGAGCGTCCGACGTTGTTCTCCAACAGTCTCATGCGCCGCTGCTGCACGTCACGTCAACGCCAGTCTATCCGGCGCTTCCGGAACCAGGTCCGCAGTACTTTACTATACGAAGTCCATCTCTTCGGTCGCTATCGTGTGGTGCTAGCAGAGCTGGTGGTCGGTGTGTTCATCTGTCTGTCAGTGGTGCAAGCTGTACAGGTGAACAACATCCAGTTGGCCTTCTCCATCAACCATTCGTGGCGTCTACTAGGCTTCTTCCTGTTGAACCTCTTCACGTTGGAAGTATTGGTCAAGATGTTCGCCTTTGGCTACAACGAGTTCTTCACACGACCGTTCTGTAAACTGGACTTGGCTGTCGTGAGTGTAGGCTGGTTGTTCTACGTACTCACGACACTGTCGAAGCCTCCAAACATCTCGTTGGTGTTCTACGATATGGCACTAGCGGTGCGATCGCTGCGCTTCTTGAAGCTACTGAACCTGTTCCCACCGTTCCACGAGATCATGTACACTATGAAGGCCATCATGCCGTTGATCATGCAGTTACTCCTCGTCATCTTCAGTGTCATGTACGCGTTCGCTATCGTTACACAAGCCAATTACGGCATCGAGTTACGGGACTTCCCGGCCAGTAAACAGTCCCTGTCACCCAATTGGTATGCGCAGCGTGAGGAGTTCCAGACCGAGACGTTCGAAGGAACTCTAGTGACGCTGTTCGGCGTGTCAAACCTTGCTGGTTGGGATGCTATAATGGACGCCGCTCACGCCATGACCAACTCGGACTCGACGTACGTCTTCTTCTTCACATACCGCATGACCATGAGCAACATTCTCCTGCCGATTTTCGTTGGTTTCTTGGTCGAATCGTTCGTCTCGAACGCCAAGACGGTCGAGTCGACCACCAGCTACGTCAACTCTGCGCACCAGGTCAAAGTGGACGATGAGGAGGACCGAATGACGCTGCTGGAGACGCGTCACATGCAAGACGATGACGATCTAGAGTGCGCGAATACACCTCCGTTATCGACTAGTAGACGGCAACACGAGCCCGGGTCGCCCGGCTCCGTGTCCGATTCGTCGGCGAGCGAGGTTCGCTTCAAGTACAGACGTCGAGGCAGTGTAGTGCACGACCAAATGTTCGATGCTGTCAAGTTATCGGACGTGAGTCGCCTGACTTTGCAGGTGGAGCAAAAGGAGGAGGAACTGGCCCAGCAGGATATGGAGATCCGCAAGCTGGAGGGCAACGTGCTGAGCATGAAGAGCCGACTGAACCAGTCGCAGCATGTGATTCTGGCTTATGAAGCCAAGATGGAGGAGCTCAGTCGAGCGCTACGTGAAGCGCAGGAGCGTCAAGTGGCGCTGGAAACAAGACAAAACCACGCGCTACCGCAACCTACATCGGAAGGAGCGCTGAGCTCTCACGGACGCTCGCGCAGTGCGCGTCCGCGTGATCGTGCGTCGTCCTGGAAGCTCTGGACTGCCAACGTGTAGCGGAGTCGACAGAACCTCAATGTGTATACATCTTTAGTCGTACCCAAGACAGTCTTGTCATCACCAACATACAACATCAAACGTTCATTACATCATTTCTATCGTCGAGCAAGTTGGTTAGCAACAGTCTGTACCGGGTTTCCAAGCTTGATACATTGATGTTGGACCATGGATTTGCTCTATTGTGGTCATCAAAAGGCCAATGTGTACATGGATCCCGCTTGCAGTTGCAGCGTGAACTAGCAAAACGTGCAGCATCGTCGGCCATCGCTCTCGTTAGTTGAGTGTTTCAACAATTTCCGATGACGACCACCGAAGTGACTTCCTCATCAAACTTGAAGTTTGACAATTCAACCACTGCCAGTTGGCATATTTCTAGTCGCGCCCGATGGTCTTGCCCCAATCGTTCTCATGGTCTTGCCCTTTTCGTATGCTTGAGCTTGAGCTTGCGTTTTATGTGTGGGCTTCGAGCAGCTCCAAGCTGGAATCCACGTGGCGGATCTTATCGCTGCCATCGCTTGGTTCTCTTCTTTCCACTGTCACTCACGAGAACACTGGAGCACTTGGTTCGTCACAAACTTCATTGCATTCTCCCCTCGTTGCTCATGGTTGGCCTTCGCTCGTCATACCACGGTCTCACCTCCACCAAAACTTTCGGCAAAAGGGGCGCGCATTGTTGATGCAGACCAGCTCCAGCCATGACCCATCCAAGCAAGACCTCTGGCCGTTCCCTGCTGCAAGTTGCAGACTGCAACACCATTATAGGAGCTGGAAAGACGAGCAGCGACATCACGTGACAGCTCGCTGGCAAGCTCTCTTTCTCTCTTCGCATCGATCTCTCCGGCTAGTCCGACCGCCTTCGCGACCTGACGAGTGCAAGCCGCTCCAATGCAATGCTCATGCGTATGCATCTCAATGGAGAGCCGGCCGCGACCGGGGCAAGACGACACTGGCGGCACGCGTTCTCGTCATGAGGATGGTTTCGGACGTCGACCAAGTGGGATGTTTGCCCGAGGACCCGACGTATCGATCCGCTTGCTGCTTGATTCAAACCTTGCAGGACCGCTGTTGATGCGCCACCACAGCGGACTCGTCATCAGACGTGACTCGATTAACGATCCCACGGAAGTGACTGCGGTCTCCGGTACATGTAATAACGTCAGCATCGACTGTCTTGTCGGGGACATCATGTTGGCAACATGGTCGGCACAAGTCCGAGCTTGTAGGCACTGCCGCCACTGCGCCAGTCGATTTGCTTGCTTAACATCCGAGACATGGAGAGCACGCAAGGCTGCTTGGTCGGTTGAGCAGGCCGGCTGGAATCAGTGCCCTTCACCAAGAACGAGCGACGTGAATCTCGCAGCATAGAAACCTGAGCTCTGCTCCATCTCTTAGCAACACACTGATCGTGAGCAGCATCGCTTGCTTCGTACCCGCCGGATACTTGTGACGAATGCTATGATGATCACCACGTGCAGCGCATGACGATCAAGCCATCGTCAGCATCAACATGAGAGTGTCTCGCATTCCTTTCGGCTCTCGGAATTCCTCTAGTGCCCGTCGCAACAATACCTTGTTGGTGTGTAGTTGGGTGTGTATTTCATTGTCTTCTATCTCTATTACTCTCGTCTAGGTACTTTTATCTACATAGCGTGCAAAACTTTTCTGCATATATAAGTTACTTTGGGTCGGTGCCTTTAGTTGTTTTAGCACTCGACCAGCTCAGCGAGCGGGTGGGCGTTGGAGCACTCGATCAGCAGAGCGTGGGCGAACTCCTCGAGCATGCGGCACCGTTTGTGCAGGTAGCTGAGCTCGAGGCGGTTGAACCAGCGGCTGTTAGCGTCGAGAGGCTGCCACGCCGCCAGAGTCTGTCGGAACCGGTTCTGATCCAATGTGCACACGAAGCGGTAGATCTCCGAGAACCGGCGCCAGCGGCTGAAGTAGCGGCCGTCCAGTTGCATCTCGATGAGGTACTCGGCGTGTTGCGCCTTGGAGTTTTTGGCCTCCACGATACGGAAGCTGCGGATCTGAATGTTTGCGGCAATGTGGCGGTGTGACGGCAACACCCGTAGCCACGAGTATTTGCTCTGATGATACGGAGTGTCATAAGCCTCATGGAGTGGCGGAAATGTCCGACACATGTCGAAATTTCTCGACATTTCTCGGTTCATCATGGGCGTCATTGACTGCACACTGGCCGAGGCTGGGAAGTTTGGCAAGGAGCGGCGTGACGAGTAAAACATTTCGCTGCTGTTGTCCGAGACGTCGTCGGTATCGTCAAAGTCTTCGAACCACCCCCAGTCGTAACCGGCATCTTCGGTTCGGTTGTCCTCTTCGTCTTCAGGAAGACACGTCGCTTCAGAGGACGAAGTGAGACGGTCCTTTGTCATGGGGTGCAACATTTTGGCAGGAGACGTAAATGCTTCTTCGACGTCCACGACCTCCTCGCGACACACAGGGCAGCACGTGCCCGATTGAATCCATCGCTTGATGCACTTGGCGTGGATGAGGTGGCCACACTCGGATAGTTGCGTGTCAACGTCATCCGTGAGGCACACGGGGCAAGTTGCACCGACCAACATTCCAACGCAACGTTTGCCACGCAAAATCTCTTCGGCCCGCGCAGTGATGCGTAGGCGTCGCTGCTCGTCGTCCTCGTCCGCGGGGTTCACGGTGTTGCTGTCGTCCACGTCCAACACATTGGCGCTGCCTGTTGAGGTGAGTAATTCCATACCGCGCACGGGCGAATTCAGAGGACGCTCGCTGCAACTTTTTCGCAGTGCGCGTTGCGCGCCCGTGCGGCGCTTAAGGGAGGCGGTGCGCGCCGCTGTGCTGGCAGAGGCATCAACCTGTTGCTGCTTGTTGGGCCAGATCCAGGCCTGTCCTAGCGTCTCGTACGTCTCGGATTGGAAGGGTGTGGCCATTTCGATGCCCATTTACCAACGGCGAAACTCAAAACACTAAAAAGATGGGGGGGGGGGGAACAATTGCCACTTGACTGTTGTTGCTTTCGGGTGAGTGAGTGGTGCAGGCGTAGCAAATTTGCAAATGGGAATGGCAACCAAGTTTTGTATCGGGTGCACTTGCATTGGCAAGCGACAGGCAAGTGGTGGGTTAGGGAAGTCCGCCGTGCACAAGTGCTGACGATGGCGCGTGCACGGCAAAAAGTTGACAAGCGGGCGATCGATTGTCGAGCTGCCGGCTGTACCGGTCGTCCTATCTTTTGCGTTGCTTCGGTCTGCCTCCGACCGGATTCAAAGGTCTCTCTCTATGAAATGCAAGTATTAGTTTGCTTTGCTCTTCACGTTAGCTGGTAGACCGCGGCACCTGCTGCAAAAGCGACTTGAATCGTCTTCGAGCTGGCGTCCTGGAGCAGATGATCAAGAGTTTTTTTGCATCGATCGGATGCACCTTCATCGACTGTACTGTAACGCGGGCCAAAGTTCAGACGACAACAACTTCAAGCACCGACAAGCCGGCGCCTCGTCTTCACCAGCGACGTTGAAGTGCTGGAGAAAACCAAGCGGATAAGCTGATCATCCGACGAGTTAATTCAGCAACACCATTTGCTTTTCTGCATGGGTCCGAATACAGGATAATCACTCCTCGCTCCGATTCCAAGTGCCCCCAAGTGCGTGCTGTTTGTCTCGTGCCGCTGACGAGTTTTCCCGACTCGAATACGGCAATAGACACGATGAGCACGGAGCCAGCGACGACGATAGTCAGTGGCGCATGTTGTAATAGAGCTCCGAGCTGATCGCGACACAACACCGGACACCGAGAAACACCAGCACTTTGACGTTTCCGACGCGAACACACACGGACGGCAAACAGTCTTGGTAGCGCCCCACCAGTACGCCAGAATCCGTTGCGCTATTCCCAATGCCGGAGCTGGATAGTGCTGCGTGCAGCTAAATATCTCACTTCCGGTTGCATTTTGGTCTCCAAGCCGCTTCTGCCGAGGCACCTTCAACTCGTTTTCAAATGAGTTATTTGCCAGCATTCTCTCGTGGATATCATGGCCGCTGCTACTGCAACTACAAGTGCTACAACTCAGGGCAAAGCGCTCAGCCGCGGAGATACATGTACCAATTCTGCAGAGCGCAATGGAGACTTTGAGCTCCACCGATCAAACCGGCTCGTCTACATGTATCGCCGGTTCAACGATGCTCGTCAAGATTCCGCCTGTGGACGAATACGCGTCCGCTCGTGTGGAAAGCCAGCGGCTCGAGCCAGCCACAGGCGAGACGAGTACGCACGCTGGGCATGTTGCGTTGTGAATTTGCGTGCGCCGAGGAAACCCATGCGCTCGCTGCGGCGTAATGCAGTGGATTTTCTCGTCGCGCGCACTCAACGTCGACCGGACGAAGGACGGACAAAGAAAGCAGACAGGCTCGGTGGACTACTCGTCGTCCTTCGGCGATCGACTAGTTCGAGAACGCAACGTAAAAGAGCAGTCAAGCAAGCCATTATTGCAGGCCAGTAAGTGGATCGGATGTATGTAACGGCGTACGCCACGTTGGGTGTATTGCGCTCAGCGACGGCGGAGCGTCACCCGAGCTCACATGAGCTGGTTGATGTAGACGTTCCGGCAGCGCGAGTTCTCGAACGTGACTACACGGAATGACGGGTTGGCCTCGGCGATCTTGACGAGCCATTCTTTGCAGGCTCCACAGGGCGCCAGCGGATTCCGGTCCGGGGGTGCGCTCGCTCGCATCATCTCTTCCACGGCCACCTCGTCGAACGAGAACGTTCGAGGCCGCTTGGGCTTTCTCGGAGACGTCAAGTTGGCGTTCTTCGTCTCCAGCGCGCGCTTTCCTCTGCCTCGTCCTCGCCCTGCATCATCAACACTTAAATTATTCACCGCGGCTGAGGATCGTGAGCTCTGCACAGCCGTAGGACGGACCCGCACGGGCAGCACCTGCGAATTGGCAGGCTCGACTGCAGTTGAAGTCTTTTTGTCAAACGTAGCGCTGTCAGATGGCTCCTTCTTGTCGTCTGCTGTATCCTCGCTTGCCGTCGGACTGGTTACGCTGATGTTGCCCCCTGCCGTGAGGTTTAACCCCAGCACGGCGATCATCTTCAAGGCGCGGCGCGTCAGCGTTGGGTCGCTGGCCAGTGCGCTGCCGATAGCGTTGCGCTCGGCACACAACGAGCCTGTGGGCATGGACACCTCGCAGTTCATGCCTCGCTGCACTACGATAGTAGGGCGACCGCCCAGTTCGGCCGCCGGTTTTTCAATCAACAGCACGGCAAGTACAGGCTTGCGCGACTTGCGCAACCAGAAGCCAGCCACTTCTCCTTCGCCTTCGGCCGCGAGGAACTGGTCGCGGAATTTCCTCATTTCTCGCACGATCATCTGCGTCATGGCGTCGGCCTTGCTGGGCGCCACTAACGGGGACGCCTCGATGTTCTCGAACGAGTGGAAGTCCACGTCTGCCATGGACAGTTTGCGTTCGTGCCAGAACGTCTTCAACTGCCAGATGTGGAGATACGACGGGCTGTACATGCGTAGTGAGGCATTCAACGCACTCAGTCGCGCCGGCGGCCCGTCGGCATACGCGATGGTGACGTGAAAGTGCGACTTCCACGCCTCCCCACAGCGATCCACGAGCGTCTCTCGATGTGCCTCTAGCAACGGTCTCAGCTCTCGGGTCATGAACTGCACGTTGTCATCGAACCGGAAGATGTTCGACCCGGAATGCACTTGGATCGCAGTCATATGCGGGTAATACTGGTGCACGAACAGCACAATGAGCTGTGCCGTGATCTCTGTCGAGTTGCCACTGCGCGAGTGCTCCACGTTGCGAGGGATGCCTGCTCCGCTGATAAGATACACCAATTGGCGACTGCTTTCTGATTGGAATTCTTTCAACACCTGCGTCCACTTTGGCAACAGCAACGCCACTAACGGGAAGTAGACGGCCGTGATACCCACTCGGTCCCAATGCTTTTCCACGAGTCTCGTGGTCTCCACTTCGCCTCGCAACTGGAAATCTGTCAATAGTTCTCCATTGCTGATGGGGATTGGGGCGTCTGCCAGGTTAAAGCCAATAGGCGACTGTGTGTCTTGGCATCGCGCCTTCCATCGCTCGCCCGGCGTGTTTGCGATGTCCAGCAGAGACGGATGCAGCAGCGACGGCGTCTCCAGTCCTTCGGGGACGGTCAGCACCGCCGCCGCATGCGTAGGCTGCTCTGTCTCGCGCTTGGGATGGCGGAGCTGCTGCACGCGCTCGAGAATATGCTGGCTGGTCTGCTGGAACAGACTGAACTTCGGGCGGCCCAGCACCGACAGCGGCACGGACGCGCCGTCCACGTCCACGCTGGCGACGGGCTGGCGGGCGGTGGGCACCGTCGCGCCGTTGCTGCTGGCGGCCGCGCCGTCCTCCCGCAGCCACGAGAGCTCCACCACCAGGTCCGAGTGCGAGATGTTGTGCACGAGGAACTCCATTGTCAAGATGGCAACTGACGCGTTCAGTAACATGCAACAACTAGACGACACGTCGACGACGTCACATGGCTACACATTTGAAATCTGCTCTAACTTTACTTGTCCTTATTTACTTATACCAACGTGTACTGTGGTGTTGCTGTCTTTCACTCCAACAGCTCGGCTTGTCTTCGGCCAGAATCCCAGTTCAGCAGGTCAGTGAGTAGCGACACCACGTCCTGTGCCACTTCCACGCCGAACTGGATCGCAGAGCCGGCGGCGTACGAGGACAACGCACCTTGGATATCGGCCATACGTCGCAGTTGATGCAGCATACGCGGAGACATGGGCGTCCGGCACTCCATTGTAAACAGACCGCGGTATTCCGGACTGTCACGTAGCAGTCCGAGCTGGCCGGTCACATGCAGCGGTCCGCCACACTCCTGCTTGATACGATGCAGACTAGGTCGCAGCTCCAGACTTACACTCAGCAATACTTCGTCCAAGATGCGGATGCCTTGCTGTACCACCCGGTTGGGCTGCGGCGCCGCCTCATAAATTAGATAGCGCAGCTGACGGTCCCACATGCGGCACAGCGGCAGGAACAGCGCGATATTCTGCAGTAGCGGCTTGGGCAGACGCAACGTGCGGTCCATCAGCGCATTATACTGCTGTCGTTTCTGGTTCTTGAACGCCGGTGCCAGCTCCGCGCGTGATAACACATACAGCGTCGATAAACGCATTAGCGTGTAGCACCTCTGCCGTCGGAGGTCTTCGCGCATTAATCGGAGTTGGTTCTGCACCGAAATCTTCAAGAACAAGTCCACGTGTCCTCGTCGCTGCGCCGTCTCGGCCGCCGTCTTGTCTCGATCATCCTTAAGGAAGATATCAGCGCCGGCTGTCATCAGCGCTTCAACTGCTGCAGTATGGCCGCGTTTGGCTGCAAGCAACAGCGCCGTGCTGCCTTGTCGCGTCTGTTTGTTCACATTTGAGCCGGATTTCATTAGCGTCGTGGCAATATTCGCGTGGCCACGCTGAGCTGCGAGCATGAGCGCCGTCATCCCTTCGTTATTAGCAGCGCACGTGTCGGCACCTTTCATAATGAGAAATTTGACCACCGCTTCGCGTCCTTCCTGGGCCGCGCGCATCAGCGGAGTTGTGCCCTTCTTATTGGCGTAATTGTGGTTGCCTCCGGTTTCCAGAAGCATTTTAACCACTGGCAAATGTCCAAAATGAGCGGCTGGGATGAGTGCCATATTCTTCGACTCTTCGTTAGCACCACGCTCGAGCAAAAACCTCGTCATATCCTCCCAGCCTTTCTGGGCCGCAAGCAGAAGAGCATAGGTGCGTTTCTCCTGTGGGAGAGACAAAAGCAGCATGCAAACGAACAATAAAAAAAAGAGAGAAATAAGTAGCAAATCCAATAAAGTGGCAAAAAAACAAAAAAAAATGCCGAAAAGCAGCCACGTACGGTCTTGAAGTTCACGTCGGCGCCTGCATCCAGCAGCATGGTACACAGTACACGGTCGTTGCCGCGCACGCCGATCATTAGCAGTGTTAAACCTGTCTCATCCTCGGCCGTAAGCAGTCTCGGGAGCAGCTCGTCGGCGTTCCTGGCCTTCCTGACTGTGCGCATGCCCTTGTGGAGTTGCTGTGTCTTCTGTTCTCTCGCCATATTAAAGAGGAAGTTTACCACGTCCTCGTACAAGAGCTCCACGGCCACTGAGCCTTCCGGTGCGCCCAGCATGGGCTCCAATTTGACCATAGAGAGCTGTTGCAGTTCTTCGTCGTCGGTCGTCGACTCCTCGGCGGCCACAGCCACAGCCATAGGCATTGGTTCATCCACTGGCACGACGCTGGTACTGAGCGCCTCGAGTGCGCCTGCAGCGGCCGAAAGCGCCTCAGCGGACGTCGGATCGGCCAGCGCTTCGGCCGGCATTTGCGCGTCGAGCCGCCCTCGCCCCATTAGCAGAAAGGACGACATGGCGAGTCTTCCACGGTGTTCTGGCTCCTCCTGCGGGTCACTGGACATGCTGGCAAAGGCGGCGGCCTCGTCGGCGGACGGACGTGTCGTCGCGGTCGTCTCTTCTTCGGCGCGGAGACGCGCGCGCTTCCTTGGCGGCGAGAGGCCTTCGCTCATGGGACGGGATCGAATGCAGCGGATGTAGCTGCACGGGGTGTCGGTAGGGGCGGGGAGGGAGGAGGAGTGTGTGTATGTCGGAGCGTTGGTAGATTGGTAGATATGCCTGCCACGAATTCTCACTCTTCTTACGTGGAGAATTGGCGTCGATTTTTGGCTTTGGTCTCGTATTTGCTCCTTCCTTCTCTTGAATGGAAAGAAAGTCTGCGAATGGAGGTCGATTATGATTTTTGGCTGACGTCTGACTGGATATTTGTATGGAGTTGAGAAATTTAGGATTTCTCAAGCAGACACGCGTAACGAATGTGCTTGCCTGTCACGCACGCATGCCACTCTGATGCCCAACGCATTTCCATCTCTGCGGTTCAGTCAAGAACTCGTATTCAGGACACACACTGGTCAAGTGTTTTCAAGCTGCGCGTGTTGTGGGGACCAAGTCACGCTGCTCAAAGCAAGTTGTTGAAATGACCATCACTCCTGTTAGTACATACACTTCACCACTATCGTCAGAAGCAGCTCCATCCAGTTGATACTGGAGTACATCCGTCGCAACTTGGCCCTACGCTCCTCATAAGACCGCGGTCGGACTCAGTGGAATTATTGCTGCTCGAGGTTAAAACCACTTTCGACCCCACGTGTGTGGCAGCAATTGCTGCTGGTGCGTGTTTTCAACGCGATTCCCAGCTTGCCGTATCTAGTGGTGTTTCGAGCCACAATATAATTCAAGTGACAAAGCTAAACTCGCGCTAGTTTACCCCTGCGAACTTTTTCCTTCTTGGCGGTATCACGTGGAACTCAGCACGAGTGTTCTACCAGGCCTGCACAAATAAAGGCAAAGATACGTCCAGAATTCTCGAGTGTACCTCAAGTCGTCCAGTTCTCGGTTAAAAAAAATTCCCTCAGTTGTATCTAGATGTAGCTCGAGGGATTCCTGAAGGTCGATAGCAACATGAACGATGCACTCAACTACTTTTCGAATAGTGTAGGTGGTTGAGTAGAAGCTACCGCGCAGTGCGTCACCTCGTGTAGGACGATCACTTGGTGGTGGATTAGTTTGCGATAGCGAAGACTACCATATCTTGCCTGTCGGTGATTTCCCGCAAGACACTGGATGCTGCAGCACGTGAACTACTCACAGACAAGACTGCTGGTTAATGCATCCAAGCCCGTGCAAGCCCGCACGATGACCGTCTTCTTCAAGGTCCACCTTGACTACATTTACGGCAAACGGGTGCAAGACAAGCTGGGCGAGCCCGAAAAATGCCATAGTTTTTAGTATGTAGAAGTCAAAGGCCATGCTTTTTGTTTTAAGTCGGTGGCCGCGTAAATGGACATTCAGATTGAGCTTCTAAGAGCTAATGCGATTGAATTGATGCAACAAAGTGCTTGGATTACTCAAGTCTGGAGTATTCTGGAATACACTACGCGTCGTTAAATAATGTAATACGTTTGAAGGAATACTAACTGTTACTAGTTGGCTAGCATCTTTCTTTCTGTGCCTGTAGAAGCCCGAGCTGCGATTCCTGTACGAGAACTATCAACTACGCAGTGGCATCTTGGGTTGCATGCGAGATCGTCCACAATCGCGTGGATCAGCTGGAGCTGCGTCTTGATATCGTCGAAGTCGTCGATGAAGCCCATGGGCTGAGGTGGCACCGGAAGCGCAGCTGGTAGGGCAACAGGGAGCAGGTCTAGTTTGCAGCTTTGAACTGGATCTGCTCGAAGTTTTCGCAGGACCCAGCCCCAGAGTCGAGCTGGAGTCTGGATACACCAGTGTAGTGCGGCGAGCGCTGCGGTGAAGAGATTGAGCTCGGGTTGGGCCGCGATGACCACGTCGTCGCCGAACCACGCTTCAACAATGAGGCTGCGTGCCCACGCGGGGAGCTGCAGGTTGGAGAACTGCATGCTAGAAGAGGAAAGTGCGAGTGTGGAGTTGAGTGCGAAACCAAAAGTGCGGATCAAATTGACGATGGTCGCAAACCACCAGGCGATTGATGATGGAAAGTACGTTTTGCCAGACCGTAATGGTTTGGCCCATCGATCACATGCCATCAAAATCAAAAGTGATTAACTGGTAGCTCTATAATATTACTGTATACTTATACAAGTTGAATTGTATTTAGGTTAGATTAAATCTCTGTCTTATGCAAGCCCAAATGTGCCTGACATTAAATTCCGAGATGAGCTTGCATAAGTTTACTGAGATTTAATTAATTTTCATATAAGTTACAGCGATTTAGTTTAACTTGTATTAGTCACCATAGTTCTCTCTCCACACCAAAGCGGGTTTCGGCCTAGTCGCAGCACTGCTGATGCATTATGTGCCCATCGGTGGATAGCAGCGCGCGCTCAACTCTATCGCGAAAACTTCCACATACTTGGGATCGATTTATTTCGACACAGTTCATCACAACAAGCTCCTTTCCGTGCTTGAGACGACGAAATCCGCCTAATTCGCCTACTACTCCAAGAACTACGCTGTCTCTTCGGACCGGCTGGAACGTCCTCGATCCGTTCGAGAGCAACACAGGTACTCCACAAGGCGACTCACTTTCACCCGTTATTTTTGTTGTTTATTTAGAGGCAGCTCTCCGCGATGTCGCAGCGCATCTAGATGTACCCCAGAACCTCCTCAAAGAGATGATTGTTTATGCCGACGACGCCGATTTCATCTGCCGTGACACCGCTACCTCCGACAAAATTCAAGCAAAAGCCCCAGTCATCCTACCTCGCTGGTTCCTTGTAATAAACACGTCCAAGATCAAGCACTCTATCGTCCACAGGTGCCTCCACGCGACGCCGAATCGCACCGAACGTGCAAAAGAAGAATCCTGGCGCAACACTCGCAAGCTTGGCTCGCTGCTAAAGGATGCAGAAGATCTCTAAGGACGTAAGAACCTTGTTACAGCAGCGCACCATCGTATGTGGAAGTTCTGGATCCGACCACCGAAGACATCAGAAGCCAAACGCCTTCGTCCTTACACTTGCTATGCGCTTCCTATTCTGCTTTACAACTGCGGCACCTGAGCTCTAACCCATGCAGAACTGTGCGGACTCGAAAGTTTTCATCGATGCCAACTTTGCAAAGTCATCGGCGTCACCTATCCGGAAATTATCTCCAACGAAGACCGATACGCGCGGACGGGAGCGAAGCCATTCCGCTACCACCTACTCAAACGACGATGGACGCTTTTCAGCGACATTCTCCGACTTACATGAAGACACCCGACATACCAGCCTACCGCCACATGGAAGCCTTTTTCGGCAGCCCAAGTTTCGAGGTCGCCGGAGCACAACACTTCCCGTAGTCCTTGATGCCGATCTTAGAACTCTACCTGACGATTACCGACTCCGACGACCTGCCGATCTTTATCTATTGCGCTGCCACGCGCAAGACCGGAGGAGTGGAACAGACATTTTCAGTCCCTACTAGCATATACACCCCCTTCGACTCTTCGTTAGCACCACGCTCGAGCAAAAACCTCGTCATATCCTCCCAGCCTTTCTGGGCCGCAAGCAGAAGAGCATAGGTGCGTTTCT